ATTTGTCTACCTGACCTGGATTTTTCAGGTCGGGTCGGGTCGGGTCACAGGTTGACCTGACCTGATTCAGAGCTCTAGTTTATATCATTATTTTAATCATTTCCTGTTTATTATGGTGGTAATTTCATAGTCTAACGGTAGATGGTGATGCTTTAATTTAATGGTAATATCATAATCTAATGGTTACTGCTTTCTTCTTGTTTCTAATTCATTTACATTATAAATTCTACATTGTTAGTATTGGCTTTTCATTCTTGTTTGAATGCATGGTTTCTTGTTAGGGATACTGACACTCTATACTTGTTTGGTTGCTAGTTCTATATTGAGAATTTACGCCTATTTGGTTGCCTTTTAAAATACTGAAATAGTATAAAAAAAAAGAAGCGACAGGTGGTGCAGTGGATTTGTGATTAAATTTTGACCAGCTCTATGGTATAACTCTGATCGATCTTTTGGGTATGTGATTTTAGGTCCCAGCTTGATAATATGATGACGGCATGATAGTGTTATGAAACTATCATGAAACTGTTGAGGAACTGGTAGGAAACTAGTAGGATGCCTGAAAGGTTTCATTTATTTACCAGTTTCAGTCCACTTACTGTATTCTTCTGATTTTAAACACCACCTTTTTAAAGGAAAATTTTGACTAAAATTTGGGGTGGTGCTTAAATTTGGAAATTTTTTTTTTGTACTTTGGAAATATTTTTTTTAATAATAATTTTTGTATATCCTTATTTTGCCTTTTATAAATTAAATCTCTTATCCACATTTTTTTTACACGTAATGCCGAAAGTTTAACGTTTGTTGTATTCTACTAGTAAAAACTTGAAATCTTATAATATGCAAAGGACTATGGTCAAAGAGCAGCCGCCTAGAATTTCACTATTGATCATTCTATGATTTTTTGTTAGGAAAAACAGGAAGAAAAACTAAGGTCTGCAAAAGGAAAAAATCGACGTATTGGTGCAGGAAGAAAAGCACAATATCCTGAAGCTGAAGTTAGTTTAAAAATATGGCTTATAGAATTTCAAAAAGATGGCATTGCGGTAACTCCTAAAATGGTTAAAACTCATATGAATAAAACAGTTTGCTCATATTTATCCAAACTGTGAAAATTTTCTTGTCTCAGAACGTTGGTTTTATGGTTTTCTTAAAAGGAGTGGATATTCTTTACAGCGTAAAACAAAAATTGGACAAAAGCTTTCTATTCATCTTGATGATAAACTTTTGGAATTTCAACAATTTATTATTAAAAAATGAAAATGGTTTGAGTATGAACTTTATGAAATCAGAAATATGGATGAGATGCTGATTTATTTTGATATGGTTGGGAATTTAATTCTTGAAGAGTGTGATGCAAAAACTGTGTAAGTAAGAATGACTGGAAATGAAAAAAACTGCTTCACTTGTGTTCTTACTGTTCTTGCAGATAGTACAAAATTACCACTAATCATCATTTTTAAAGGTAAACAAATTCCAAAAAATTTACCTTCTGAAATTATTGTATTGATGCATCCAAAGGGATAGATAGATAATAGATGAATCCGAAATGAAAACATAGTTTAATAAAGTTTGGAAAAAAAGGCCAGGTGGAACTAGCATCAATAAAAGAAAATCTCTTCTTATTATGGATAGTTTTGAAGGTCATAAGACCAATACTATTAAAAATATTGTATTCAATGAAAATACTGATTTTGCAATTATTCCTGGTGGTCTTACTTCTATTGTTCAACCACTTGATGTTTGTCTTAATAAGCTATTTAAGGATAAACTTCGTGAAAAGTAGAATATTTGGATGAGTTCAGGTCAATTTTCTTATACTAAAGGTGGAAATTTAAAAAAACCTGAATATGGTATTATTTGTAAATGGATTCTTGAAGTTTGGGCAGAAATTCCAAAAGAAATGATTGTAAAATCATTTAAAAAGTGTGGTATTAGTAATGCAATGGATGGTTCAGAAGATGATTTATTTGGACAAAATGAAAAAGAAGAGGATATAAATGAAGATGAAAGAGAAATTGTAGATAGAAATAGTGATTCAGCTGATGAATTGGAAGATGAAGAATCAGAATAAAGATTGTTTTTAGAGTAAAATATAAGAATTATAATAAAAAAATTTCAATCTTAAGGTGATGCTTATTTTTGTTTTTTAAGATTTTTTTCCAAAAGTCTGGGTGATGCTTAAAATTGAATGATGCTTAAAATCGGAAGAATACAGTATATACCAGCTTAGATGCCAAGTTATTACGTCCAAAGTTTAGGCTGAAATTATGAAATAGTGTTGGCTGAAATTAAGTGAATAAGTTTTACATGAAGACTATATCGTAGCTAAATATATATCTAGAAAGATAGAGCTTTCTTTCAATTTTATATATATATAGATTATGAAGAATGCTTCCATTTTCATATACATATCTACTTGTCTTCCTTTTATGATTAGCTACTAGCTTGCTATATGTCTCTTTTTTTCATCCATCGAAAAATAAATGCATTAATAAAAGTATTCATACCTGAGCACATACTAGTATTAGGATAGTCTTCTTCCATTATTTTATATAATATTTCTGAAGAAAACTACTCAAAATACATATACCTGAGTACATACTAGTGATAAGGTAGTCTTCTGCCAATATTTAACAATAAATTATGCAGAAGACTATCTTAAGTATCACATATTAAGAATATGTTTATTTATAATTTTTTTTACTAATCTGCTATACATCTCTTTTGTATCTATTGAAAAAATATAAATTAAACATTTCGAAAATATATTAGAATATATAAAGTTTTACTTATTGATGCCATGTATACCTCAATTACTTCTAACAAAAATCATGAAACTAATCTAACGCTTGCCCGCTCGATGGCATTGAGTCCAATGAATACTTAAGTGACTCAGATAATTATAATAATAATGAATCTGATTTGGGATCAGATGCTTATAATAACTACAAGTCTAATTATGAATCTGATAATGAAGAAGCTCTCTACGCTTCAACCAGCATTACTGAGACTCCATTAATTCAGCTTTCAAATGTATAAGAGCGAAATGTTAATGCAATACATACTTTAAGAAAGGAAAAGTTTAATAATAAATTTTTTCCTAAAGATTTGGTAAGTGTCATTCGGGAAATTCTCTCATCATCACCTAAAGATATGTCAAATGATAAAGGATCATTGGAATGTCTTTCAATTTATTCATTTCTCTTTCTGAACAAAAAACGCTCTAACTTATATAACGCTTATGACTGAAATGAGGTGGAAAATAAATTAGTTATTAAAATTAATCAAGATAATTGAGTCCCAAAGTTTTCTGTTGCAGATGACATTTTAGAAGTATATGGTTTACCTGAAATTTACGAATATATTAATGGCTAAAAGCTTTTAAGAGCTGTGATTGATATTGATGCATCAAAAGAAGATATGAAAACAGTTAGTATTAAGAAACAGAAGTATTTATTCAAATCTATTACTCTTTTATAAGAGCTTTGTATCAAATTTTTGACTGTGGTTGAAAAGAAATTCTCAAAGGATTAGTAATTGCTATATCTTCAGATTCTAGTAAATGCAGTTATCATATTTTATATACACCGGTTCTACTTATTGATCATCACAAGTTCAAAGCATTCACTGAATTAGTATATATCATAACAAGTGAAAAATATAGTAAATTTATTGATTAGAAATTACCTTCAAAATTTTAACCTTCGCCTAATTGGTTCAGCAAAAAAAGGTTACATAAAGCACATTCTTCAATTCTTTCTAGATAATGGGTAAAACAAGTTTGATCATACTAGAATTCAACCACCTACTAGTTTATGTCTTGAAGTAAGACCCTGATTACTTAGTAGTGAAAAATTCATTGTAAAATGCTTTCGACAAGGTAGTGATAAACCTAGGAAAGTTTTTGAATGCGACACATCTATTGCAAAAAAAATTAAACAAGAAAATAAAAATTTTTCACAATCATCTCATAAGGTAAAAGCCCCTAATTTTTCTAAAGCCTTCGTAAAATTCCTATCTTAGGTCAAGTATAATAATGCCCTTACAGCAATAAAAATATATGAGAAGTATGTAAGACAATTATCCAATGAAGGCAATATTTGTGTGGGTCACCTTGAAAAATGGAAAAAACCTATATTTTTGAAAATTTAGCTATTTCTAATGATGTAAATTTTCTAGTATTATCCACGTGTCACTTTTACTCAAATGCTGTTACTACAAGACTTAATCTTAAGTCATATTGTGATATTGATGGTAATATAAACCTACCCAATCACAAGAGAGTAGTATGTCAAATAGAGAGTTTATACCAGATTGTTAATAAATACAAATATAATAAAAAATGCAAATGCCTTCTGATTTATGGCTTGATGAATAGTATCTATAATTGCTTAAGCATAAAGTCATCTGACAGGTCAATTGATAGAAAAATTATATAAATTAATTCAAAAGGTAAGGCGTATTATTGTTATGGATAATGACCTAGCTGATCTAAATATCGAATGGATTAAGGCCCTTCATAAGAATAAACTATTTTCTATTATCCATAATACTTATCAATTCAAAAAGGTAAGATATTCCGCTTGACTCCAAATAAAGAGACTATATTAACAGAACTTTGGGATTGGACCAAGCAGATGTCTTTATTACCTTTTGAAAATTGAACCAGTATATCACTCATCTGCCATCTCAGAAAAAATGTGCAAGGAATTATTCGTGCACTTAAGACTGATTTTCCAGAATTACAGATCAAGGAATATCACAGCAAGTCTGATCCAGTGGAAAAGACTCATAACTTCAGCAATATAAAAGAATTATAGAAAGGCGTAAACCTAGTTACCTATACTAGTACTCTAAAGATAGAAGTGTCTTGCACTAATCCTAAGTTTGAACGAGCATTCTGCATCTTTAACAGTTATATAGAAATGAATTCTGAGACGAATCAGATGTTATTTCGCATGTGATGCATCAAAGATTATTTATGTCATATTGAACAAAGATCATTTAATATTCCCATTACAGAGAAAGGATTATTCCAATAGTTATTGAATGCCAAACATGAATGTTTCCCCAAGAACTTCAAAATAGAGGAATATTTTCAGATATAGACTCTATCATTCGGAATAAAGATGGGAACTGTAATTAATATGTTGCAACTTTTAATGTTTCAACTTACGTTGCAATTAGTTTTACCTATATATGTTGCAACTAATTTTAGCTTATGTTGCAACATTTTGTAAATTTGAAATCAATTGCTGTACCATCTTTAATTTAGAATAAAGATGTATCAACTATTCGATTGTGGGTGGCTTATATATTAGAAAATTTTTGATTTTATCATTTATTTGGTTGGAGAAAAATTGATTTCCTTCAAAAAGCTGGTATATGTATTTTGATTGTAGAATCTATTCCTAAATCTAAAGATAATATGATATCATTATCTCAAATGGTGAAAGTGAGTTCTTCTATCATTAAAGCAGAGGAGATATCAGCAAAATCTAATGCTACTATTGTTAATCGTGAGACTGCTGAATTTTTGGAAATAAGCTGAAGAAGACTTTAGAAGAGATATACTCTTTAATCAGCATCATATTGCAGATTATTATGGAATCCTACCTGAATTATTAACTGAAGAATTTATTTCAAAGTATGAATATTTCAATCATATGAAATAGTTCAGAGCTTATAAACAATTGCGAGATGCAGATACTAATAATGAAATAGCTGTTGAGGCTATTTCCTGTAAAGATTATAAAGAAAATAGGCTTACAACTGTAATCTGAGTTAAGAGATATTGAATTTGCCATCCGTTAAAGATATTGATGATAGGATACAATATAAAACTGGTGATATTAAAACATCCATAAAATCTTCTGAATCGATATCATATCTACAAGGTTTGATATCTAAAATGGCTTGAGTATTTGATAATACTGATACTTCGCATAAAGCTAAAAAATCAGGATTAAAAACAATACGAGCGAAATTTATTTTGCTAAATTTAGCACTATATATGACATATGGGTTGAAATTTAAAGTTACTAATAAGCAACTCACACATTATCATCTGGTTGGCTCATTCAATAACAAAGATATACCTAAGTTACCTTCATATTCAGACAGAAGAAGAGGTATATTAGAATAATGATGAGGATGCCTGATATACTTATAGTAAACTCAATTCTGATGAATTAGTATTAGAGAAACTTAACAAAACATCTTTCAAACTTAATTGTAACAAAGTAAATACCGTACAAATTACAGAAGAAATTCAGGATTTATTTGATATTTGCAAATATTATACTTCAGGTAGGATAGTCTCCTACCAATATTTATATAATAGATTACGCAGAAGACTACCCTTAATTTATACTATCTGTTAGTATATTACCAAATATATTATCCAACGTTGATACTTGACTAATAGATGAAATAACATTTTTTTGCTTACTTCTCAGCAGATAATTCAGATATCTTTACAGATTGAAGGACCTCACCTCATACTTCTGCTTTATCTGATAATTTAGCGAATGAAATCTACCTGAATGGTCAGAACAAAATCCTGTAATAGAATCTGTAAGTTTATCACAACTACTAATAAGACAAGATTTTCTTTCCATATTTTTTTCATATAATGTGTGATGTTTTGTACAGCCAGTAATGCGAGTGCAGACTCTTCTGCAAATAGTACTGTCTCTCTTGATATATAGGCAAGTAACACGATCAATGTAAGTATTTTAGAATATGAAACTCCTTTCACTTTTATTGTGGATTAATTTTATAATAAATGTGTATTTAAATTATTTAGTAGTAAAATAAACATAAACACCTTTTCTCACTTATGCTATATATATAATGTAAAGAACGGTATTTAATATACTAATTGGCTGATGGGTCAACTCAAATGGAAAGTTATTTCAGAAGCTAATTCAAAAAGGTTTCAGATATGCTGATAGACTTTCAGATTATTTAGAAGATATTAGAACTACAGTCATCCCCCTTTATAGTCACACCCTTTGGGACCAAAAATAAAAAGTGTGATTATAATAAAAAGTTACTATACAGTGGGATTTTTATTTGTTGTTACTAAGCGTTGGTTCTGAAAGGGTGTGACTATAAAAATACTGTGATTATAATGAGGTTTTTTATATTGCATTAATAGGTATTGGTTCTTATGAAA